ATTTATTTAGACAAATTTGTCGAGTGAAGGAATAATTACAGAAAATTCCAAAAGAAGTAAACAAAAGCAATGAAATGAAGTTCATTTTTTGGAATTTATTCTTTACTTATTTGAAATTTTACAATTTAGCGGGAAATCGATATCGATGAATCGAACGCTTCTTGTGATTCTCGTTGTTTAGTCATCACGTTTGAATTGCGGTGACAAGCAAAGTTTCAAGAATGCACACGTGCTTCTGCAAATGGATTTAATTGTCGTGGAAGCTATAGTGGATTCGTGTTTAACCAGTTGTTCTCTTCGACAAGAAAGAGTAATAAGTAAGTAAATATCATATACACTTATACTCGATATTTTCGTAAACAAGTAAATTTATAATATAGAGCAAATTAAGAGGAAAAATGGGTGTTCTTTATCCAAAGAAAAGCGCCAGAGAACATTACAAAAGATCTTTTACAAAAGTTGACAAAAGTGTTTTTATGAATAATAAAAGTACATTGAAGAAAATGAATAAGAAAAATAAATATAAAGAAGTCGTAGGTTTAAAGGAAGCATGTGTTGTTCTGCAAGATTGTTTAAGACTTAAAAATATATTGAATGATGTATCAATGATGCATAATATTCCATTGCAATTTAGACTGGTAAATAAGAAATTAAAAAACACAAATAATAAGAACGATATATTTAGAAAATATTCCAAACGTCGTTTACTTCTGAATTCACAGTTGGGTGAAAATTCCATTGTGCAAAAACCAAAATATATTACAAGAAGCAAAGTTAAATTAGCCAAAAAAAAATTTCAAATGTCTACAGTAAATAAAAATGATATACAAAAGATGAATAAAAATTTGGAAGTATCAGAAAATTTAAAAGAAAATACAAATGATAGCTTTCTTAAAAAAAAATCTGTCACAAAAATTGCAGATAAGAATATTTTTAGCTCTTGGGAAAAAGAATGTAGTAAGTATTATAATTGCTTTTTATATTACATTTCTTTTTCTATTCAATTTTTTAAAAATTTAATTTATGTTTCAAATGTCAGTAAATAAAATAATAAAAGCAGTGCAGAATGATAAGAGATTCAAAATTAGTTTAGAGAAGATCAGTGATAAAGATTCAAATCAAATTCTTTTGACCAATGAGAAACAAAATTTTGTATTAGAACAACGACCAATACAAAATAATGTATCTGATTATGACTTTACAAATAACTTGTCAAATTCACAGAAAGAGAATTTGAACTCTCAGAGTTTATTAAAAGAAATTGATAAAATATATGCAAATGAAATCGATTTGCAAAGAAAAGATAAAGATTCTAATAAAGATATTAATTATGACAAAATAACAGAAGTAGAAACCATACAGAATGTAAGCAAAGATAATCTATTTGTTATGCAATGCAGTGAAAATGAAAACATTGTGTTATCACATACTACTGTAACTTTGCCAAAGATCATAGATGAAGAAGATGATACAGCACAAACTGCAAGGAAAAATTTATATAAAAATACAGATTTAACAAATAAAAAATGTACAGTTACTGATCAGAATAATATTAGTGATAATAACGTAAAAAGAAATTTAAATTTTACAAGTAGATCACACAATGAAAATGTGGAAAGCACTTCAAAAGATCTAAAAGAAGAAAAGTATGAAGTTAGAACTAGTAGAATCATTAATAAAAAAATTTGTGATTCTCCCCATAGTATACAATTACGCGAATCAACAGTGTCAGAAATAAATAGATCATCAATAGAAAATCAACTTCTTTTAGACGAAGAAAATTTGAATAAAGAAGAAGTAGAAGATAATGATTGTTTATCATTGTTTGCAGATTCAACTCTCATGCAGGAGTAATGACTTTGAAAATAATAATAATAATAATTGATTTGAAGAATATTATTTATGTCACTAATTATTTTAATTTTTAACATGATTTTTTTTCCAGGTACAATACATACCTAGATGATAATAGTGAAAAATCATTTCAGATGACTGATGATGTAATCGAAAATTATTGTAAAAATACTACATCTGATTTTAATAAAGTTTATAATAATAACGAAAATAATGTTTCAAAAGAAGTTGCAAGATCAAGATTAGAACAAGTTATTTCAGTTCAAAAAGATAATACTGTATTTCAAAAATCTTTGCAAAATCCACAAATTTCCACACCGTGGAATATCAATGTACTTAAATCTATTTTTCGCGGTTTTTGTTATTACACAATAATGTATAACAAATGTCTTAGAAACAATTGTCGTTTTAAACATGACGTATGTATATAATTATAATTTTTTAATTTTTTTTATACTTTCTTTCTAAGTGTCAATGTATTAGTATATCTTATTTTCATTTTGCAGTTTATATCAACTATGATTAATTGGTATATTTATGAAGAAGAATATTTGTTTAAAATACTAGACGAATTAGTATTTAATAATTTTATAGATTTTGTACGGAACTTTTATTTAGAATTGCTACGTATTCATTCTCAACGTGATATCCAGTGTGTATTAAAAATATTGAAAAAATTATATGAGTTAAAAGTTGTTAATGATGATACAGTTTTCCATACTATTGATTACTTGAAACAAACTAGATATTCTATCAAAATAATTATTCATGAAATATCAATAATTGTAAACAATAGCGATTTTGAATTTGTAAATTGTGTTTTAAAACAATTAAAAGAACATATTGTATATGGTGAATATTGGAGTACATTGAAAGATTTGTTGCTTCGAATAGAAAATTTAGATCCAAAAATTGTAGAAACTATTTTACAAGAATGTATAACTACTCATACACATATTGAAGAAGTAAATTTGAATGTTATGCGTAAACTATCCCATCAAATTTATTGGAAAATAAATAATGATGTACTGTTGTCCTTTAAAAATTTGATTAAAAATAAAGAAAAAACTCAATTAGTAGATAAAAATATACAAACGAAAGATAATGAAACGAAAGATATTTCTTCACCAGATTTATGTGCAATAAATGAATTAGAAACAGATGAACATATGAATATACTTAATATAACAGAAACAATTGAGAGAATAAATGAAAATTCTTCTTTTAAATTGGATTTAATAGGTAAATAAAAAATAACATTTTACGAAATTGCTATTATCGCTATTATTGTCAATGTAAAATTATCATAATTTTTTTGGTGGCAAATGTGTTTATATCCCATGCAATTTTTAGATAACTTACCAAAACCACATTCTACTAGAATAAAATTTTGGAAGTTCTATGTAGATATAGTTCACAAGCTTCATGTAGGATTTAAACATAATGATTATGATTATGTTATGAATATTCTTAATTCAGTGAAGGAAGAACAACAAACATTCTTTACTCATGCATGTTATCAAATTTTGTGTAATAAAATAAGACATTCTCACTATCATTTGAAGAAGCTAATTTTACATGCAGGTATTATTTTATAAATAATTTATTTTATATTTTAACGAGCGTATGTTTGGCATAATAGAATTATAACAAACATATGGACATTATATTTTATATTATTTTAAATTGTGAAAAATTACATATTATCTATTATTTAAATGAATTAAAAATCATTATATGTGATGTTTTTTTATTTTTATTATAGATTACTATAATAATTAATTAATTATTTTTAAATTATAATATGATAAATTATAATATAATATTACTACAGAAAATTATGTGTATATGAATATTTAATATTTATTTGAAATACTGCTAAATATATTTTATCTTTTGTAAATATTATAGTCAGAGTGGAGTGACTGCTACGTGTTATCAAATATTATTTGATATTGATGTGATGTTTTTTTATTTTTATTATAGATTACTATAATAATTAATTAATTATTTTTAAATTATAATATGATAAATTATAATATAATATTACTACAGAAAATTATGTGTATATGAATATTTAATATTTATTTGAAATACTGCTAAATATATTTTATCTTTTGTAAATATTATAGTCAGAGTTGGAGTGACTGCTACGTGTTATCAAATATTATTTGATATTGTCAAATATGCTTTGATTACTTTAGCTGAGAAAAATTTATGGGTATTAGCATATATATTACTGGAAGATATTAATATCATAATACAGACACAAATGTATTTCCATAAGATTGATGCTGCAACTATCATGCTTATTGCTGAGATATACTTAGCAAATCATCTAGCTGTAAAAGCTTTTCTCTTACTTAAACGTAAGTTAAAAATTAGATTTTATCAATATATTTTCTAATATATAGGATATAATATATAAACTATATGCAAATAATTATAACCATTTTCGTGTAACTTATTTTTTTCAGAAACTAATATCATTTATACTGATCCTTGTAAGTGGAAGGTACATTATACTGCAAAAGATATATCTATTAGAGTACGAATAATGACCATTTTATTAAATGCACTTTGTGAAACATTTCTAGAACATGCTTTTTATCTTTTTCAATTTTTAGTTGTAGATCAATATAGCAATTTTTACCCAATAGGTAAGATGAACATTAATTATAACTAAGAAACAAATAAAATCTTTTAAATTTATACTACCCTTTTTAGATATTACGAATTTTGTAAATAAAGCAGTACCAATGCTTCTGACAAGAAAAAATTATTTTTTAATTATACACATTGCAAAATTAATTATTCATTATAATTTTGTACTAAATACTATTACATATCGTATATTAATTGCTACACTAATTCATATTGATATTGCTTTAACAAAACGCTTATACCAAACTGCAGTTGGATTAGGAATATATTCTAGAATACAGGTACCAACAAATACTTTTAACAGGCATTTTTATATTAAAAAAAATAAAATTATAATTCTTTATT